ATATTAATATTAATGCTAAACAAGAAAACATCTCGAGTTAATGAGGATTCGGGCTACAGTAATCATAACCCAAGCACAGTTAAAGTTACTCAATACTTACCTTTACATACAGCATATCCAAGTTAACGAAGAATTAAATTGGTCTTATTGTGTGATTAACTAATACAGTCAACTGCCTTTAATTCGGATTTTCAGTAATCCGGATTCCCTTTTATTCGTCCGGATATTTCGATAATGATCAACTGTATAAACTAAGTATTGTAAAAGACAACTTTAATTCGGCCTTTTACTTTGACGGTTCATCCCATATATGTAATAATTTGACGTTAAAAATGTTCACACATCTAAAAAACAGGAAATATGTAAACATCAAAGAGATAATCTTATCGTGGCTAGCAAAAGACTATTTAGTCAAGTTAAATTTGTCGTAGGTTGCAGTATAACAGAAAACTTTTTCGGTAAAAATAAAATCTGTGGGAAAGTTGGTATCCGAATTAATGGAAGTTACTGTAATTCCTTTGCAAAAATGCTTATCAGTGTAGTAATAATATTTCACATTTACTCAAAATAGAAGTTACTCTGTAAGATAAAGTAAACCCGTACAACATAAAATAAACAGTCCTATACCATAAACATATATTACAATTTATCGAAGGACTGCCTGATAATAATTTATTTCCTAGGAAGGTAGGAACGCAGATAGCTATGTTCTTTCGGTGAGGATTTGAAACAGATAAATGTCTACTTGCGTCTAGTTGTGCTGCGACGGAAATTCAGATGATGCGTGTAGATAATTATAACTGACAATGTATTAATAAAAATTGATGTTTGGACGTAAAAAACCCATTTTTAGATATATTGTAATGATACAGTGTGAGACAAAAAAAAATCCGTAATTTCTGCTATAAGCGTACAATCGTGCATATAGTATCTCCACCAATTTAACGTCGATTTAAACAATGTAAAATGTAAAATGATTGTCAGATAACGGATTTATATTTGTTTTGTTTTGAACTGCTCGTTTGTTGGTATTTTACACTAATAATATTTCTTAAATTCCTTTAACATTCCCCAAAATTTCTTCGAGAAACATCAACTAGAACGATGACTTTCAGACAAGAAAAATCGCCAAGCTATACAACAATTGTAGGATCAAAGCATTCGGAATGGTGTGGAGATTCATAAACGCGAGGTTATTCCCACAGTATGGTTTGTGGTAACATTAAAAAGCTCGAACCGTTAACCCTAACCCTAACCCTAACCCTAACCTTTTGCTTCTGCATAAGGAATAAGACAATTTTATACTGTTTTTCCCGAAATAATGGGCAACAATTCATGTATACATACTCCGAAGACATCCTCCAGACATTGATGACTGTTAAGAGACGGATGGTGTTACAACAAGACAGTGACTTAAACACACTAGCCGCCACTAAAAACTTTCTTCGGGATAACATACCTAAAGTTATAGACTGGCCCTTCTAACAGTCTTGACTCAAATTCAACAGAGAATCTCTGTATGATGTTAGAAGAAATGTAGAGAAGAAAATACCGGCGTTTTATGGTTAATGAGTGGGGTGATATTCCACAACTAACCCTAATCGGTTAGTATGATCAATGAAACGCCGATGTGAGCATAGAAAGTAACGGTGAACGCATTCCATATACTAAAGTTTTTAAATAAATCCCTATAAATTACTATGGTTGTCGGCTTTCAAATTCATCTTATTTGCTTGCGTAATGTAATTACAGATTTTTTTTGTCCCACACTGTAATTCGTCTTGCTAATAATAATTTTTTTCTTTTTATGTAGAGATCTTACAGTACACACGTACTATATATCGTGCTTTGATAATGATAAGCAGATTAATTGTTAGACGAAATGGTCACGGAATGAAAGCCAGAACAGGTAACAGAATATCCGTTCAGGCTATTTAACATTCAATTAAAGTTTTTGGTAGACGAGTTTGCAATGAGGGGCAATTCGTAATAGAACATCGGTAAGCTCCCTTTTTTCATATCCGAACAATTTATTCTCACTGATGAAACTTCCAAAAGTCTCTTAGATACGGAAAACGAGAGATAAAATTTATGAGAGAAAGTTACCTGTAATAATAAAACTATTATTCTCATCAAAGTTGAATCTGCTTATCATATTAATATAGCATCAAACAAACAACAAACAAACAACAAACAAACAAACAAACAACAAACAAACAAACAAACTCAATATTCACTACTCAAAGCGTTAAAAAGCTAATCGGAACTTTAAGTTTCATTTACAGTAGTGGCGGAAAATAATGAGAATTTTATGTAATGTTTTTATCTAATATTTATATGCTTCCTGCTTTACTTATTATGGGAAAGTTATAAATAAAAATAATATTTGAACTAACAACGCGTTCTTTGTTTACTTTCATAATTTTTTTTGTTAAAAATGCCTAAAAAACTTACTTTAACCCAAAGGCGATCAATTGTAGAGAATTTGTGGGAAAGTGGAATTCATGATGTATCTCAGCTTCATAAGATAACACATGTTCCCATATCTACTTTATACAAATATATCAAAAAACTTTCAGTAACAGCTACCCTGAAACCTAAATACCGCCCAGGAAGACCAAAAAAAATTACTGCGGAAAAGCGCATATATCTTGGAAAATTAGCAAGTTCAAGAAAATGTGCTAGCAGTAAAGAAATTGCTCATGCACTTAACCAAACCTACCCAAACCTTAATATTGCACCAAGAACAGTCCGTGAGAACCTTTATAACCTTGGCTATCGCGTTTGTGTACCAGTTCCAGTACCAATGTTAACGGCTAGTGCAAAGGATTATCGCGTTAAATGGGCAAAGTCTCATCTTCCAATTATTTCGATAATATGAGATCTTTATTGAACCTTCCTTCCAATTATTTCGCAATACCACTTTAGTAAGATATAAAGTGGGACAAGAAAAGCCACGGCGCGTAATTGTCAAACATCCACTCAAGGTTCATGCTTGGGGTGCCTTTTGTTCACGGGGAGTTATTGGGTTTCTTGTTTTACTGAAAACATGAATGGGGAGCTTTATCGGAAAATTTTAACGGAAAATCTTTTCTCAAATGCTTCAAATATACTGGGAAAATCATGGATTTTCCAACAAGATAACGACCCAAAGCACACTGCCAAGTTAACAAAGGAACTTCTTAAAGAAAAATGCCCGAAAGTTCTTGATTGGCCTTCTTACTCACCTGACTTAAACCCTATAGAAAACTTATGGGCAATAATGAAGAAAAGGGTAGAAAAAAAAGTAAATCAACGTATTTTACAAAAAAAATCAATTGGATTGGATGATTTTTTGCTGATTATCCGATCAGAATGGGATAATATCGACAAATCTATCCTATCGAATTTATGTTCTGGAATGAAAAAGCGTTTAGAGGCTGTTATTGAAAAAGGGGACTTAACGATTGACCACTAAAATTTTTTTATGTTATTACTTATGTGCAGATAAAATTTTATGTAAAATGAATACAAATTGGTCGAGTAATAAAAAATTTAAAATTCTGCCACTACTGTAAATACCGTTTACTAACAGATTAGCTTTTTAAACTGGTTAACTAGGGGCTGCTCTCTTTTATCCCAACTGGTGGACGGGAGCGAATCTGAATCGGGCAACGGGCAGTTACCGGTGACGCCTCTCTACTCACCACTCTCACCAGTGCTCGGAAGCAATAGTTATTTGATTGTTTATCCAGTTACATGTATATTGTTTATTCGTCATGCCATGTATTTATTGTAACGTATTTAACTAATCATTATTAATAGAAGATAGTAGTTATATTATTATTTAAATAATAAAATATTGATAATGAAAATTATAGCGAAAAGAAGAAAAAAAAAGAAAGTAAAGAATTGAAAATTTTTATTGTATGTAACTTGTTAAACTTGCGCTTGAAATATAATAAACTGGAAATAACAAGCCATATTCTTCATGATAAAGACGTCTGGCTGCATTTGGTGAAAAGAAAGGATACCGATAAAAATGGTATTAGATTATATCGGCTTTGTTTTATAAAAGTGATACTAGATATCATAAATGTTGTAACGATGCAGACCTTGGCAGACGCGAGATTGACTTTAAAAATGGACTGGGATTTATGCTGGATGTTTCAAATACTACATACTGTTAAAACATTTAGCAACGGTACGAGAAAAGAGATGATAATCACGGAAAGCCGTATCATCAAGTATTGTCAACTGTCTGCTAATGGTAATACTAATAGAACAAACTTTGCAAGTTGTTTCTGTTGGTATTTTCTTGGTCTTAGTTACTAATCTATTCTAACATATAATACAACTACGATTGATACTGTTAATTCAACTAATAATAATATTTCTGCTGATTAGAACATTATGAACATGACATCGAATCTAACTGCTTTTCCAAAACCCGGGAACCACAGAAAAGAGACTTTATACTATTACCAAAGGCATGAAATGCAGCTGAACAAGGGCTTGCTGTATGTAGCAAATCTTGGTTGGTGTGTTACGAAAAAATAAAAAGAAAACCCTTCAAATGCGTGTACGTTATGCAATATAAATTGGTTATTTCACGAATTTTTTTGTAAACAATGTGCGGTTGTTAAACTGTCAAAAAATCTTCAGTCTTTTTTTTTTTTTTTTTTTTTTTTTTTTTACTCAATCCCAACTTTTTGCGATTACACAACGCGAGATCATTAAACATTGTACGAAAGAGTATGAGACTAGCTAAATGCAAGGGCATCAATCATGGAACGCGTAATGAAAGTGGTAATGAGAAGGACCCTCGTGATCCGCCTACCACGTTCACACACAAAAGGTTCTTATGGAACAATGATTTCAGCAACAAACAGAATGCAAATATATTAATTTTGCTGATTTACAATATTTTTATCTACACTGTGCTTATTTTATTAATTGCTAACTTGAATGACGTCTCAAGTCAAATTACGGTTGATGCCTCCACTTTTTGAAAAATATTGCTACTTCACCGAAACATTTACCAAAAGATTCACTCTCGACAATCCCATCTCCAATCCACCTGGGTGCTTTTTTTTATGCAGTTTTCTGTAAAGCGGAAGTATTATTGTCTCGCGTAGTCATTTCTGTGCGACCCATCAACTGCAAACTGTATATCGAATAAATTCAACACCTTCAATGTTTTCTCAAAGTTCTTGCCTATCGACTGATTGACAGCTCTCATACACAAATTTTCATAATATTCCATTCCTGCTCCATTAGATTTCTGGTCCATGTATTTCATCTTCTCCACAAGACTAAACAGATTTCATATTGGCAAATGGAAGCCCATCCATTACGATAGCTCCGATTTGAAGTAAGGTTGTATTGATATTGGTAAGAAAAGACGTTTAAATAGCGATACCGGAAACTTTCCGCTAAATCACTTACTACATACGAATTCAAGTAACGAGACGGAATAAATGATGACGCAAATATTCCTTTAATCGGCGACCTTTTTCTCGGTACTCATTATTCTTCATAACTTAACCCCACATACTAATACAATTTTTTGACTGCGTCAAATTAAATGAATTTATTTCTCAAATCGCAAGTAATACCATGTAGCTTAAATAGTAATAAACACGTCGAGTTTTTGAATAATATATTTTCGGCCTTGTTTGAATAAAAAAGCAATCTCGAAAACATTCTCAATACTTATTGTTGTTACATCGCACAATTGAACCTTTTAAGTGCAACCCCTAAGTGCGCGGGACCAATGAATTTATTTATAACATGCTATATATAGGATTGTATAAGTAATATCGACTGGTTGGGGCACGACATTGTATTATTATCACTACGTAGAATTGTGGGAAACATTCGTCAAGTTTCTTTGAAATTAATTCCTTCCTGGTAAGAATATCTATCGAATCATGTATTGGTCCAGTATGGATATGTACAATGACTAGTACACAGTCTATTGCAACAGATATATATTCTTATTGGCCCCTTCTTGTACAAAAAAAATCAGTATAACAATATTAAATAGTATTTATATCAGACGATGGGCGACGATATCCTTGATTGCTCAGATTGATTTATACATTAGAGTAGAGACAATAAATACAAAGACATCTGTAATGACGATTACAGTATAGCATAAAACTTTCGAGTAATGATAATAAATGGTGAGGTAATAATACACCATCCCCTATCTACTTCGTTAATCTTTACACAATGTCCTTACAACGTCAAACGGAAAAAAGAGTTCAGTTGAGCATTGATAATAAACGCGAAATTTGTGAATATGCGAAACAAAATTCTATTTTAAACCATGAAAACATTTCAATGGTGAATATAATTTAACATGAGTTGCTCAACTATAACCAAGTTTCTATTATACTTTCGGATAAAACAAAATCCTAGCACATTTTTGTCAGCATTCTGTTAAGCATCCCAAAGCTAACTTATGTTGTTGATTACTTCACTTTGGCTGGTCCTGACTGAGTGACTGTATGGGAGGTTGACAAGCATACTCATTCTCCCACACCTTACCTCTTGTCTCGTGGCTTCTTAGTTATTTGGTTACATAATGTCGACTATGTTCTTTGACAGTTTAGTCTGCAAGTATTAGTATTAGTATGCTGTTAGATAGTACTAGAGTCTCATGTTCACAAGATGACTATGAGAATTTACCAAGTGTCATGAAAAAATGGTTTAATGTCCTTTTACAGGTTGAAATTACTATATGTGTATAAATGATATTGTACTTTTTTAATTAATTTTTTTGACTGTGTTTGTTGGCCTTACATAATCTAATCTTCAGGTTGTAAGGTTATATTTTGGTTGGGTTATTATATATTATTGTGGGGCAAGGAGGTATTTATTTCATAATTCTATTTATAACTGATAATTGAGAGGCCCCTATTTATTATTCACAAGAAGTTAGTATTAATTACAATAATATTTAAATCATAACATAAATATAGTTTATATTTACAAAATTATTAAATTGGGATTTTGAACAAATGTTGTTTGAGAAGTTAGCTGGTATATAATAGCAATTTAAATTGTAAGTGCTTACTATTACTATAGTAATTAAAGAATGGAGATTTTGTGAAAGTAAAAGCTGCCCAAGAATGTCAACAAGTACAGGGCAAGCAGCTAAACAGGTCAGAGAAAGCTTTGACCTACTCTACTCACTATTTTTACTATTGATTAAAATGGTACACAAGTGTGACATTCAGCTGTTTTAACTTGTGATTGCTCTGAACACTTTGTCTAATTTTGTTGCAGCATACATCATATACTATAAACAATTGCAAATTATTACCAATTTTTCTGCCACAATAAAGTTAAGGTTATTATTAATCTTGGCAGCAACAAATAACAACTAATTTTTTTGTTTATTATTTCACTATTTATAATAACACTTTGACTTGAATCATATATCATAATATGTATCTTTGTAATTTCAGAAAATGTCTTGCAAAGTTTAATTGAAATTTCTTGATATATAAAAAAAAAGGTAATTACAAAAATGTCAATTATCTGTTAACCTCCATAACAAATGCACAAATAATAACCCATTTAAAGAGATGTTAAAGGGCAGTTTGAAATACATTCTTCTTTAGTTTTTAAGTAGACTTGCATTATCGTTTTATTAGTTTAAAAATTGGATTATATATATAATCTGTTTTGGTCAAATTTCTCACTCCCCAATCATCACTGGTTTTGTTCAGTCAAATTTTTAGCGTTTTGAAAGTTTCCATACTTTCAAGTTAAGAGTATTAGTATGGGCTATTCTGCCCACAGTTTGTAAAATATGTATTTCAAAGAAATAAACTAAGTGGCAACTTGAATTGTTGTCCTGCCACAAAATAATTTAGTCTTTCAGTGTAATCTAGACGATTGACAGGTCAGGATTAATTACTTCATAATTATGGACATTTAATTGCGGCACAAAAAACTTTTTTTGTGACATATTGTAAATTTGTTGTAGGTCTTAGTCTGGATTCTCAGAGTATCTTGAGATTGATGAAATTAAAGGAACAGGAAATGGTGAGAAGAACGATACAATTATCAATAAGGTTGAACAGTTTATCAGATTCAACTTTTTGTTTGATGTTTCACTCTGCAAGATTCAGAATTAGAAAAACCAAAACTTTTTTGTAAATAATCAGATACATGCATTGACTGTACATGTAGGGGTTGACAAAAACTCTTATTGACAATGCATTTCCATGTGAAATAAGTAATAGAAAATAATTGCAAACCGAGAAGCAAATCAAAAACCCAATAACTGTAAAGCTCAAATTGAATTCAAAGTAAAGAAAGTCTTCATATTCAATGCTTACCGTTATTGTCGCTGTTAATGATACAAATAACAAAAGTAACTGACAAACCATTTACGTGTATGTTGCTCAACCAAATAACTTTGGATATTAATAGTTTTGCTTAAAAGGGCCAACGAAACAAGGGTTCTTACCCCTGAACATACGACGTGGCGTAATGACTATCAAGAAAAATTGTATGATCCATGACAGATCGTTCTGCCATCAAGGTTCAAAATGTGTGAAATTTGAAACAAATTGAAAAAAAAAACCATTAAGTATTGAAGGCGTTTAAGTGAAGGGAGAAACCGTTTTTACTTTGCTTTCTCTCTCCATCAAAAAAAAAAAAAAAATAAAAAAAAAAAAAATTGAGGGGCAGGTAATACAAACTCGTTTTGATGATTGCTGTATTACCCCTGAAATTCGCCTATGCGGGTTTTCTGCTACAGGGAATAAACTTGTATCATTGATTGTATTGCAGAGTATGAATATTTTTTTATTATGAGTGTATTAGTATCGTTTGGCTTTTTTTTTTTCAATACGAATAATAAACAAACGTCTCCCATCCAATCATATTTAATCCGGACTTTAGAATGATCGACCAATTAAAACAATAACAGGATGCTACGTACGGTAATCACTCTTGTACTTGTACTTGCTTGTTACTTGTACTTGAACTTGTTACTAGCATGTTATCGAATGTACTTGTACCTTTTCATGTCGACGCGTTAAGTAACGGCCAAGACAATAACTCGACTGGATTGGTCTTATATATTCGGTTCATAATCAATACTCAAAGATAACGGATTACCAAATGAGTTATGCATATCAGTCATACGCAGTATAACTATGCTACATTCGTAAATAAGATTACGCCCGCTTATCTCAGAGTTCTCATTCAAACGCCAAGAATGAAAACGCAGCACTTCTGTCAAACGAGAGATTTAAAACAGATGACGAAATATATCTAATATATACATACATACATACGCACACATATACATACATGTACATGTACATGTACATACACTTACTTATACATGCCGTATATATGTACGTACTGTATGGTATGTATGATATATGATGTATGATATATGATGGGTGGTATATGTGATGTGTGGTATAGTCTAGTATAGTCTAGTATATATGCAATAATAATAAGTGCCGGATATTCATTTCTATCGGTCCGAATGACACGTCAGCATATGAATCGTAACTTAAATCTCAATAATCACATGACATATAATACTTGATGCATAATCCTCATTATTAGAATCAGTATGCACAACTCCCACATATGATAACCTTTTATACTCGCACACAGATGAGACAACAATGTCGAAGTTGCTTTAACCGCATTAGTTATGATTTGGATATGTAAACTGTTGTGCTAGAATTCTTTAAATATGTCTAGTCATTTCGTAGTATAGTCGCACATTGTAATACACATTGTATCAAACGAATAAGGGGGAAAGGGCAAGAATATGAATAAAGAAGAGGGCATATTAATAAATACCATATTGACATTAGGACTAGATAAAGAGGCGCAATAATTTAAGTAATTTTACGACATATCGAAATCAACTGTCCATGGAACAACCCTCTTATTGCTTTTCATTGAAGGTGTATAAATTGTTTCGCAGTATCACAGGCACTTCATATGAATGGCGCCAGAAGTGGTCTCCGTGTACAATGGCAATCCTTCCCTATACAGGACACAAGGGAACGAAGCACGGGCAAATCAAACAAACATTTTGCCACATTCATCAGTAGGAGTAGGGGCTAACTTGCCCTTTATCCAATCATCGAACGTCCGCCTGTAAAGGGCAACGGCAACACCCACGATCTATCAAACGACAAATAATCAAATAAATATCCTGATTACGGGCTTACCCAACTCTTGCGCACGTACTCTCTTCTTGTAAACAGGGCGACCACTCTCTCCTTCTTGAATATCATAGAACTGATAGACCCTAGCATTCCCCATCATCCTTGCAATAAAGAGTTAGTTGGTTGGTGACTCTAAAGAACTTGTTGACAATAGACTAACACATTATTAATAATACAAATATACAAATATACAAATATATATATATATTAAAGAGAACTAACAAAAATACCTGTAAAAAATGAGCTTGGATTACGCATTAATACTCAAATCACTAGGTATCATATCACATGCACCTATCCACTGCATGTTGTTACTACTACATGCATATCGTATACGAAAATCGTCGTTTCTGATACCAGTAAACTAACCTTCCTTCTCTCTTGCAGCAAAGGAAGCAGGCATCTCTGTGCCGGCGAATGCATTTCAGAATTCCAGTCCACTACGAGTGCCAGGAGACAAACGTGGTCGCTGTCCGAATTGCAATCGGCCACAAACAACAGTCGGATGGTGCAAACCATGCGACACCCGAGCACTTCGAGAAAACTTTGACAAATGGACAAGCGGGAACGAGGAATTGGACGCCTTTATCAGAGAGACTCAATTGAATGCCAGTACACCGTTCGATTATATGCAGTGGATACCATTTGATAAATTTACGGACCTCAAGTTTATAGCAGAGGGTGGATTCGGTTCAGTATATTCGGCAAAATCGAAAGAATGGGAAATGGTCGCATTAAAGTTTTTAGATAATTCAACGCATTTGACAAGCGACTTTTTGGATGAGGTAAGCTTCGACGGGTGTGAGTGAGTGAGCGAGTACGTGCGTGCGTGTGTGCGTGTGTGCGTGTGTGCGTGTGTGCGTGTGCAAAGTACAAGAACCAAGTACATATTTATGTATTAATTTCAATTTTTTTCGTTCTAGTTGAGAGCGCATCATCGTTGCAGTCTGGGATCAAAAATTATCGATTGCTATGGTGTTACTCGAGACCCAGAATCAAATAAATACGTTATGGTTATGAGATATGCCGACCACGGAGATTTACGAAGATATTTGACAGAGTATTTTGCCGACTTGTCGTGGGACCAGAAAATAGCATTATTTGATAAAATAGTAAAAGGATTACAGGAAATCCACGATGCAGGATTGGTTCATCGAGACTTTCATTGGTAAGCGAACAAAGATAGTAGTCATCAAATTTTTCATGTTCTCCTCTCCTCTCCTCAACAATAACCTATTGAACATTCTTATTATTATTTAGTGGTAACATCCTTCGTCACGAAAAACTTGTTTACGTAACAGATTTAGGCATGTGCCGTCCGGTTAATGATACAGGAGATACACAATATGGCGTACTCCCTTATGTTGCTCCCGAGGTACTCCGCAGAGAACAATACACGCCAGCAGCAGACATCTACAGCTTAGGAATGATCATGTGGGAACTATCATCCAATCAACCACCGCTTGCAGACCGTGCACACGACTACAGCCTAGCACGCGATATATGCCTTGGTCTCCGTCCTCCAATTATCGCTGGCACTCCTACGGGATACGTAGCTGCTATGCTACGATGCTGGGACTGTGATCCCGAACGACGACCAACTGCTGCCGAGTTACTCTCGGTATCTTTCAAATGGCGATTTTTACCTGATGGAAAGCAGCCATTCATGGGCCCTAAAAAAGGGAGGAGGGTCAAAACAGGCACACCGGTCAAGTCTGCGATTGGTTTATCGAAACAAGTACATCCACAAGCATTCTATACAAGTAGACTGTTACATTTCCCTAACCTACCCGTGCCGAGAAATTCAGAGACATTATCTTTATTCGATCCAACAACGGGTGAGATACGCACGATGCTTCGTAAGCAAAGTAAGTAATCAGGGAGGAGAGAGGCGGGAGAGGCGGGAGAGGTGGGGAGGGGTGAACGAAACGAAAGACGATTCTTTGTCATCTACACGGGATTACACGCACGGTATTAACATTGTACCTTTCTTGCAGCATCAAATAGAGATCCTCACTCGACTACACATAAACGTGATGATCGAACAAAACCGAGTTCAGCCACTAGCGAGACTTTTGCGCGCAGGTCCCACACTCTTCATCGAAGTAAGTTGATACACTTTAATACTCACTATTGCGAGTGTCGTTGCATTGCTAAGTAATTCCATGTCATTTATATAAGAAGGTTCGACATTGGATACAATCGACCGTGGGCTACTCGGAACTGACAACCGAAAAGGTAGTTATTGTGTTTTCAAACAACTTTGTACGTTTCAAGGAGCAAGTTTTTTATAAAATTCTATTGACAGAATCATCAAAATATTGGTCCATCTTTGACGATTTTCCTAAGCAAATGGAACAAGCTCTATTTGGAGGAGGTACGAAAATACGGTTTAATGACGATCACGCCTTGCTCTTTGAGGTTTCCTAACTGATTTATTACTTTCTGTTTTTGTAGCAAAAGAGAAAGGCAATTAATTTATTCAAGCAACACTTTAATTTATTAAAAGTAATTATCGTACAACACTTATGATAACTAGACATTTCGTTATAAATATTATTATAAAATTATTGTTATTATCATTTATTATATACATACATGCATATATACTAGATTTAATATTGGGTAACGAGATGACGATTTTAAGGAATGTTTCTTGGCACAAAATTTAAAAAACGAACGCACAAGCATTTGAAATAAAGACATCATTCAATGAGTGTTGAAGCGATTCTTTGCGCTAACATTTGATACTCGAAAATAATTCTTGTATACTTTCAAAGTGCTCGACTAAGTAAACGTACTACAATAAATATGTAGGGTACAATAACTTTATAACTTTGATAGCTATTTTCACATGGGTCTGCCGTACGATGAGGTCATCTCCGATATATGTGCAAAACTTTGTTGCCCCAAGATGAAAAGCAAACTACCCTGATGTTAATATGTTGGGGAAAGTGCAGACTAATCAGTATTAATGTTAAGACTGCGGTAGTCGACAGCGTTTCAGAGTGGCGTGTGACGACGTCATTGACATTTGGGAAGAAGCACACGGATCAAACCGACAAGCCTATGGAGCTTTTTAGGTGTTGAATACTTACTGGTGTAACAGCACAGTAGTTATCTGTGTGAACGGGTTAACAATCAGTTTTTAAATAGATAGTCGGTTGAGATATCCTTTTTCATGATGGAAGAGCAGTTTTGGAAAGAATGTTGAAAATGCGCAATTGTTAATAAAGACCCTTATAAAGCAGGTGAGCTTTATGCTAAACACATCCTGCAAGAAATTAAGGGAAGGAGCAACGATTTGTAATGAAATGCTCCTTTAGGTCTGCTGGAATTGGTTTTCACTTTATGATTTGGCCACCTATTTTTTATTTGCAGAAGAAATTCCAATAACGTAAATTGTTTTATTCTAAAAATAATTTTACAATCTACGATAGCGTTGCAAATCTTTTTTTTTTTTTTGCTTATCGCTCTTCTAGACTAGCTTCTATTTACATATTCCCTAATAATAATAAAGAGTCATGTTCTAAATCGAGAAAGCGGGAAATCAAAATAATCCAAATTAGGAAAAGATAAAGTAGATACAGTATATGACTTCACATGCAAACACACTCGATAAACCTTGTCAAAAAACCGACTTGTCAAAAAACCGACTTATCGAGTTTACATGAGTATATTTTACGATATTTTTTGCCAACTCTTTCAAGTGCATTAAAGTTTACTTTAATATTAACTCTATTTGCCGGCAGAGTTTTATGGTTTTCGCGGCATTGATTGCAAGTTTTTCTTAAAGTTCCATGCTAAATCGAAAATGGAAAAACTGGTCGAAGTTGCAATGATGTCACAAAAAATGTCACATGAGTGCTGAGATAAAAGTTCCTCGCGATAGTTAGTAGGGATTGTTTCCACTCTCCAGGGAGTTTTGCTAGTACGAACTTGTGCCATATTACAATGTTCGGTCCATTCAACATCACTGCATTTGGAGCCGCGTAAAGATGTTGATCTACCAATTACAATATACACGTAAATACGAGACATTTTAGTTATAGTTGAATGTTGAATAAAGCGTAATTTAGAACCTGGCATTAATAATTCGTACGTATAACCCAATAACGTACTGTCCGTGTTGCATTTGTGATACTAGCTTGAGTTCGCCAAAAGTATACTGCCATAAATTTGTCTATTTAAATAAATTTACCGTTAGAGAATAAAATAGATCCCGGTCCATTTATTAGGCTTTAGCGTTTTTGGACATGTATATATATATTTATAACAAGATTCAGTTTTCGTTGAATCGTTTTTACCTTATTTCTCAATAATTTATTACATACTCGGAAAAATTTTATATGCAAATATTACTAACATGCTACAAACGCGAATAAACCGCTTTAACAATATATAGAAGCTGTAGCGACTTTAAATCATCGTTGGATGCGATGTCAAGATTTGTATCCATACAGCATAATCCAGAGTTTACTACTATCGATGACGTTAGTTACGAATGTAATATCGTTATGTGCTATTACATACGACCAAGTTTCACAGAAGAGATTTACTAAATGGACCAGAATACAAATTAAAATTCTTTAGGCTATCCTTGTTGGATATTATCAGCACTAGAACAGAAACCAGATTTGATGAAAAATCCCTCTCTGTGTATTTTATCTGTTCGCGAAAACAAGTTCTGAATCTAAAGCGGGCTATATCCTGTTTGAAAGTATTAGCATGATACATATTCAGATATGGTAATAGTTTTTTTTAACCGATATGTCAGACACCTTGTAGAAAACACCTGGGCAGAAAGTCGTGTAAGCGGTGTACCTGTAATATCTATGTATGTAAATCTTGCAATATCTCAGATTTTACAATAGCTATTCCACAGCAGCAATTTAGAGCGCGTGTTGTTCGTTGCGTGTTATTTATTCGTGTATTAACAACAAAAATTCGAGTAGGTTCTACACTTTTCCTGATAGGATTTGGTCGAAGACTCCACGGAATAATGGACAATGAAATGGTCATGTGAAGATTTGTGTTGACTCGTTGAGGTTTGGCTAAAATCGTTGAAAGAAACTGAGCAAAGAAAGCCAAACAACAGAAGAACAAGCCAAATATGAGGCTTTTAACAAATGGATCTACCGAACAGCAGCTTTGCAACGAGACAATGCCAACAGCATGGGAAGACGACAACCATTTTTAATTAGGACGGACCCAGATCGATTTCAGACACTCCAAGAAGATTTTTTCCCGATTCCCAACCGCCGCTTACAAATACCAGTTCTACTATCGCGAATATTGTTACGTCATCGAACGAAAATACGATAGACGAGTGGAAGTCGTCATGTACTGTACCAGCGACTAGAAGAGAAGAAATTTTGATGAGTGTATTGCGTATCCGCTAACATGGAATGTAAATTCAAGAAAGGCACTTTCCACAAATTATAGAAGCTTTATCAAAGAGTTGATTGAATATTAACAATGTCAATAAGAAAACAGGGATTTATTTTGAAATGACAAATGGGAAAAAAAAAATACTTTGAAGCATATGCCAAAAATCGCTAACAGTTATTGAACTTATGAAAAAGTATTCAGTAACTAATCTACCTATTATTTTCGATCCCTTTCTGCCTAATGATACTTCCTACTCCGATAAAGAACAACGTTTTGATTTGAAGATTAATCATGCATGTCGTGTGCTATACATACTCTTTGGTGAAAAAATAACAACTTCACGACTATCATCAAGGTTGGTACCAACACAACATATGGTTGATCGACATTCCGTAACCACGCACCCATAAAACACCCATAAAACACGCAGATAAAAGATTAAACTGATATGTGGCGACACAATTTGTGAGAAAGATCGTAAGAAAATCGGAAGGAAAGAAGACGATATTTTCAGACTGAATGGGAATTTGGAGTTATTGAAGCAGGAAAAGAGTGGAAAGGAAAAAAATACCCGACTGACGGCTTGAACCTGAGTAAAATGCAATGCGTTACAAAAAAATCAATTGCCGCCTACGTTAACTGAAACTCAAAAAGGCGAAACGCGTTGAATGGGCTGAGAAACATATTAATAACTCGTGGGAGAAAACTTCATTCAGTGACGAAACTGCATTTCAATTATTTCGAGCATTGGTATAAGGTCAGCGTCCAACTAGACGGTCTTCAAAAAGGTTTCGCCTGGAATGAATTTTTTGTTAAGAAAAAAACCGAGTTTATGCAGTGGACGCAAAATTTTATGTTAAATACTTGAAAAACACCTCCAAAAAATCAACAGTATGCTTGGGAACAATTGGAGGCGAGTAGCAAGACAGCGACCCCAAGCATACAAGCTACCATTCCAAAGAAACACAGAGTTACGAATGCCAACAGCGCTATTCTGAATTACAACAATTCATGATAGAAGGGTGTCGTCAATTCAATAACGGACAGATGTACACTAATAATGGCGAAAGAATTTCTTATTAATTTCATGTAAATAAGACTAGAGTTTTTAGTTTTTAATAAATTTACTAGATAAAAATTGATATTGTTAGTTGTTGAGTAATTGCGAACTTTTTTGGCATGCTAGTTAGTACAACTTGCAACAACGATGAAAAAGTTGGTTTACATAGCACCAATCGATTTCAATTGTTTGTATATCTGTCGAATTCGACGTTTCGACATTCGTGAAGTTTCCAGTTATATAAATATCCACCACTAACATGTGTATTAAAAGACAATAGTTATGCAAACGTTAGAATCAGTACAAACAGAAAAATCTTGGTGATCACGAAGATCTTGATGATGAGAAGGAAGTTGGTAAATCCGAATGGTGTACGACGCCACTTCCAACAATTACCTTGTCTAAAACTCACAATGCTCAAGAAAGCGGCTTAACTCGGACAATTTTTTTAAAAAAAAATTCGATAAGTCGGACACACATATAAAATCGCGACACGACAAGTCGACCACGTGAATTTGAGACCGTTTTAGTAAATACAATATGGAAGCTGAAACCAGGATCTGAAGGGTAATGGCGGGGATTTTTTGGTTTTTTTTTTACATAACGATCTCTTTACAAATTTTTATGTTTATAGCGTATTTGGTAGAGTAAAAATTTAGTATTCAGTATGCTCTCCTGCCTCAATGCAGGCTTGAATGCGAATACTACTTTACGCGAGAATGATTCTGTGCTCATTCTAACCGGTTTTGCTTGGCTTGTTCAGTATAAGTACACGTCTTGGCAAAGCAGCAGTATAGCCAAGTCTAAAAAGTTTGTCACGAATAGTCTGTTCAGCTGCAAAATGGTTCGAATTTACGATTCTACCGATCTGGCGACGCAGAAATTCCAGAGCGGTGAATATCTGAAATTTTTATGAAGCTGGGCTACATATCGTTCACAGGAGCAATTGGGCTTCGCTTCCATAAATTCTTAACTTCTTTACGGTTTATTTTTATAGAATTTTCTTTCATTTGCGAAAGTAATACGTTTTATTGGTCAATGTGTTTAGCTCAAAGTGAACAAAAAACAATAATACGGAACTCAACGCGTACTGGTAGTGACCTAATAGCACAAAATGAAATAAACATCCCGCCATTACTTTTCGGGGGGGCTGTAACTGTCGTCACCATAGTTGTCACTAAAATGTGAGAGACACCCCTTCTACTTACCAGCGTTATGAAATCTGCTATCTTTCCTCAGATACGGAAGTCTTTATTACGTGTATGCAATCGAACATGCATCGTAGATCATTAATTGCCCATTTATGTAAGATTGTTTGACAGTTCATCATGAAATTAAATGAATATTTCAGCGCTCCGTTACACTCATAATACTAATACGTCAGCTCATACAAAATCCACTGAAGTATACAGTACAAGAGATTCCTTCATATGGCAGCAGTCAGAACCGACTGACAGGTTGCTCGGAGTAATACCAGCAGCGTGTACAGCAACTTGCCAATCAGAGCTGAGAGAATCAATACATTGTCAACTAACTCCTTGTTTCAATAAACCAATTTTATGGCAGAGTATCATTATAATGCGTTGAGTAACTAACGTAAATAATTATCTCTATCTTCCAGCTTTTTTAACATTAAACGTGGAAGAGACTTTTCTGGTTTTCCTATTTATTTATAAAATTCAATCCATAATTACGTTATCTGAAGGTCAAAATAAATTAAATAAATCATTATAAACTTGCTTACCACAGTTTGGGTAGACAATCATTGGTTCTATTGTAATATAGTCTTTTTCACAATAAACATCTGACATTCTATATTCTATAATAGCTCCACGTCTAGTACGAGGCCATTAGCCATGGTGCAAGCTGGGTGTGTCAAACATTGTCCTTTGTTCACAACTGTTAGGGTCTCGGTACCGTGTAGGTTACTGTTGGGATGCCCTAAGCAGTGCCTCCCTGGCTTCAGCGATATAAACTAAATGTCTTTCAACAATTTCAATGCCTTCAAAATCTACTTCTTGTATGAGTGATTCTGCATAATATTGACCAAACAATCAAAAATGACTATCAATAAATAGCAAAACACATGTAATCATATACAAGAATAAAACATACCCAATTCACCAACAGCCGATATAGCCATAGCGTATGAAGGAGAATCGCTGTCTATCTCTCCATCGTTCAGACAATCAGCCAAACATTTTATCAATTGCAAAAACCTCATGATACCACGGAGATAGCCGAGAGCTGACTGAAGTCTTTCCAATTGGATTGTGTAGTTTCTAAGTTGCATGTAAGGCGTATATATCTTTGATCGCAGTTCATTCGTTGACTCGTTTAACGTTTCAATACCATCATGAACAGAGGACAATTTCGTCTCCAGCTCCTTTATTCCCAATGCGTGAGAGAGAAGAGTTTCAAAGTTCACAACTACCTAAATATTATCAATTGTAAATTGACATAATTGTACGAGATATACAGACACGTATGTGATGAGAGGCGAGGCGAGGTGCAAAGTATACCTGTTCGTGTAAGTATTTGTTGAGTTTGTCTATGCTGGAAGAGAGTTTTACCAGTGCATTGCTTATGTTACTGTCTCCATCTGTAGTGTCGTTGATGGTCGAATCTGCATACTCCTTTGGGTCAAAATCCTTTAACAGGAATCGCTTGTAGTCTGTAAACTTTGAATTACAATCGTGAGTATTAACGAAAACATTTGAGTGATCTTCGGATGTACAGTTTTTATTTAGCGCATAATGGCAAAGTATTTACCTGTGTAAAGATCAAGCTCAGGAACGCTGTGCTTTGACATTTTATAACGTCAATTTATTAGAGAATAGGCAATCTTTTAATCTTTTGCAAATCATTAATGCATTTGATTGGCTGTGTCAGCACTATATAATATACACTAATAGCCACAAGTCCCCGTTCGATGGACAACACAAATACTCCTCAGCCCATCAGGTATCAAATCTTACCTAGACCACCTGAAAATATCTGTAGAGAGATTGTCAGAAGAGCTTTGGAGCAAGAAGGAAAAAACGATTACGCAAGTAGTTTTACCAGCAGAAAGTCAAGGAAGAACGGAAATCGTGCGCGAAAGTATGCAGTATATAAGAAAAATGGGCATACCAAAACAACAAACAACGCTAATAGAAAGCAAGTAGGTTGATTATTTATTGCAATGGCAAAACAATAGTACGGTATTCGATGTAAATACTGATCTCATTAAATAATGCATCAAGTCGCAATCTAAAATAGCCAACAGATCCAATGCGCGTAAAGAAGATAATACGAATTTGTCTAATGATTCAACCGACCTGCCCAGTCCTGACAGAATAAGAGAAAAGATAAAACAGTTGAAAGAAAAAAAAGCACTATTACAAGAGCTTTATGATCGGAAAAAAGAAGAATTGAAGCGGGGAAAAGGATGAATGAAATATTATCAGGAACGGCTTCTCCCTTGGGAAGCTGTTGTTCGAAATTTTGCATGGCTCTGTCATTAGACCATGGTTAAATTAGAAATGTTATATAATCGTAACAAGCTATGCCATACTTCATGTACATGTGAAATTTCCATCCAGTGCGAAGGTTTTTATGGTCAAGGGGTCGCTTGCCTTGGGGGGACGGTGGCAAAGATTATCTTGATGAGACGGATCAAGTATGTAGGCTCTAGTGGTGAGTGGGACATGAAAAACCAGCGTCGGACTTACTTTGAGCTAGTTATTCTGAGAGGGTTCAGCAGGTGTTAATCGATCTCTCTCTTACATTATCTTTAGCATCGGATGCAACAAGTTTGGACACAATGTGGAGACGGATATTACTGCTAAGCGAATGTCCTATGTGAAGGGCTCTGTCAACCAGTTGCACTCATATGAATCAATGCACTATATGAATATATCATAACGGATTAGACATAACATTGCATTTTCTGTCAAGCCAGTTATTTGCAAATGTTCAATATTATGATTATGCAACTAGAATCGATTGTATGGCGTGTCTAGGGTTGAGGAGAATTGATGTTTGCGTTTCGCATTTACCAAAACAGATGCTGTCGTCATAGTGTGGTTTAAAAATACATACAGACTACTTTCCAGCTTGATTATACATCAAAATGGCTTGTGTTAAGAAAACATGGTTTATCCTATCTTTCAAAAGGAGACTATCAAACGAAGCATGCTGAGATGTGTTTTCAGAATTGTTGGATACATGATCATGTTAATATTAGCTTAGGGTATGTACTGAATGTTTAGCTCCTTACGTCGGTATTTGCTTGCTAATAAGTAGGGCTTATCAATTTATAGGCAGCAATTGTTGATTTGTTGATATACGTTATGGTCGAGCTGAATTACGTTCCCTTTAGAGAATTAATTGTATTGTCAGCTTCATTTCCAGGGTAGTTATCTTAAATAGTACGTATATCGATTTGAGTTTTCACATGATACTGACTTATACAACAGCCACGTGGTATTGTGGCTAATTAAACGTAGGCCAGAATCATAAGCCACAGTTTGTTTGACAGGTTCCAATCTTGGTTTTCGTGCCAATGTCATTAAAACTGCGTACAAAAAATTGCAATGATTTGCTTTCGCCTTCTCCATGGCTTGTTTTCGACGACAGAATTCTCTGCCAATTCTTTGTTACGAGACTTAACTAATGCTATGTAACACATAATGAAAACATAACTCGAAGGGAAACGCGTCCTTTTTTGTTGTCTGAATGCTATGCGATAGATGCAACGGTTCTATAAAGAATAAACTAAAAGACTTCTATTGAGATTCAATCATACAATGACGACTTTATCCATGCAACTGCTACCGTGGGAGAAATTTGCCTCTTTTGTTAATTTTTTCTTCCAAGAAGTTTCATTTATTCTTCTTAGCCTCATCCTTTTCTAATTTTGCCTCTTAATCCACGTAAGAAAACAAGATCATGACAAAGATATTCTTTTTCTGCTACGGAGTGCTCTGCCCAGTTGGTCTGATGTCAAGTATGTCACATTAAAATAGAACGAGTTTCAGGTGCTCCGACAAATTGTGTGTTTTTTGTCACCGCTCTGACGGAGACATCGAAAGTATTTCCTCGAAAAATTTTACTAAGAGTGC